CACATGGTTAATTTATTGAAATTGCAGCACTCTTATAAAGGATGCAATAGCAAATTTCACTGTAGTTTTCCCCTTATATTCAACTTGAAATCAAGGATGTTGCATAAAGTACCTGAAAGCACTGAAGTCAAAGCAAAGGGACATTTAAGGTGTTTTATGCCAACAGCCAAGGTTCTGAGTACAACTCAGTTTTCATGATTCACACACATTGTCAACAAAACCTTACTGAATGTCACCTCTGCTAGTGCCAAGTCCACCTTTTGAAAGCAAGAATATTTCCATACATCCACATGATGGCTGTCAGCAGTTGCCTTCTGTCACATTGTTAGTCAAAGAGGATCAGCTCAGCGCTCTCAGTATGTGGTAGCTATAGGATATCTGCTGCTTATTTTCAGCTACTAGGGTCTAAGAAGCAATAAGAATTAAATCAAATGTATTTTTGCCTAAGCAATTATGATAACAGGAACTGTTTTAAAATATTGCAATGAAAGAGTAAACAGTAAAAACAAAACACAGCATGGAATATTTCACAGTATTTAACAATTAAAGTTGATAGAAAAACATCTAAATCCAGATATACAGGCAAACGTTAATTTACATATTTTATACATTTTTAATATTATATTATTAATAATAATATAATTAAGTATATATCTCCCCTTTTGACAAAACATACTGTAGGTACAGTAGCTTCACTTACAGCTCGTAAAGTTGAAGAACTCCAGAATACATGATGAACGTTTTATGTATACAGTAGACACCAAATTTATTAATATTCATGATAAATTGTACCTTTGCATTGAGCATGAAAATTCAAGTGTTTGTGATTATTCAATACAGATAAAAAATAGGTTTAAGAGTTGAGTGACTTTCAATATTGTATGTTAAAAAATAGAACACTCCTCAAAAATAGCTACAGTTCAATTATAGTACATTCATACTCCAGCATTCTGAATTTTGTGATCTTTATCACTTTGGCTTCAATATAGGAAACATTACCTATTGTCTTTAATAGGTCCTTAAACTTGTCACCAGGGAAATGTAAAGGTACTGATAAGAAAAGAGGACACAATGTTTTAGCTATGGAGCCTTCTGCCTTCTTGAACCTACTTGATCAGGAAAATGCGACCACTCCTAAAACAGAGAAGATCCACTTCTATTTTTACAGACTGGGGACCATTCTTCTTGTCAGGGTGATCTTCACCTTTCTGTGCCAATTATTCTGCTAGTGAGACTGTACAAAAAAAGATGGTGTTTCACCAAGTTACATTATTTGGTCCCATTAGAATGGTAAAAACTCAGTCACTCCTTTTTATGTAGCCATGGAGCTCTGCTTCAGACACCAAATCCATCAAGTCAACCTCCTATTGTAGCCTTGGAGACCTGATGTCT